TCTGCACATGTGCTTCACATGAGAGGTTGCCTGACACCTCAGCCTCTTCAAGATGACAATGGAAACATGCTTCTCTGGAACGGAGAGGTATTTGGTGGTCTGAGAGTTGATCAGGGAGAAAATGACACCAAAGTTATACTCCATCACCTGTCAATGGCACAGTGCGCCTCAGATATGCTATCTTTACTATCACAACTCAAAGGACCCTGGGCCTTTATATATTACCAAAAAGTAGAGCGCTGTATCTGGTTTGGGAGAGACTTTTTTGGAAGAAGAAGTCTGCTTTGGAAATTTGATCCTGAAGGAACGTCTTTCACACTTTCATCAGTTGCTTCCCTGCCAGTAGATAATATTCAGTCCCAATGGCAGGAAGTACCACCTATTGGAGTTTACAGGTTTGACCTAACAGACTCTTCACCTTTAGGTCCAGTTGTATTTGAACTTTATCCATGGGTTTTCGACAGTGGCGAAGGGCCAAATAAAAGCCCGGAATTGAAATTCGAAGGTCTTCACAAATCTGTCTCTGTAAATGGTTCTGGACTTTACCTGACCTCTCCTATTTGTCCAATGAACACATCCATTTCATCATTTACAACTGAACAAGATCAGAATGTTTCTCAGACCTCTGTTGAAAATCTGAAAGAATTCCTAACAAACTCTAAAAAGAAAGCAATGGTTAGCGCGCTCATTGACATTCTAAGTGAGGCAGTCCGTAAGAGAGTACGGTACCTACCTGCTCAAGATGAAATGGTGACCCCCAATCATATGAAAGCTGATATTGCCATTCTTTTCTCTGGGGGAATTGATTCAATGATATTAGCTGGCCTTGCTGATAGGCACATCCCTGCAGACAAACCCATTGACCTGCTCAATGTTGCTTTCAAAATCCAAGAAGGAAAAGTGCCTCCCAAGTCTTTGAAGAAAGGGAAAAATAAGAAGAAAGACTGTGATGCTGATGAAACCCAATCGGATCAACAGAGCGCTGATAGGCACATCCCTGCAGACAAACCCATTGACCTGCTCAATGTTGCTTTCAAAATCCAAGAAGGAAAAGTGCCTCCCAAGTCTTTGAAGAAAGGGAAAAATAAGAAGAAAGACTGTGATGCTGATGAAACCCAATCGGATCAACAGAGCTTTAACTGCTTTGATGTGCCAGACAGAATAACCGGTAGAGCTGGTCTGCAAGAACTAAAAAACCTCAGTCCAAAGCGCCAATGGAACTTTATCGAAATTAACATAACTCAAGAGGAGCTTAAAGAAATGCGACAGAAACGCATCTGTCATTTGGTGCACCCTTTGGACACTGTTCTGGATGATAGCCTTGGATGTGCCGTCTGGTTTGCTGCCAGAGGAATTGGCTTCATAAATGAGGGCGTTGAAGAACTTTTTACTTCAGAAGCAAAGGTAACTTTGTTTTTCTGTTTGCACTTGAATTGAGTCTTTATGAAAACTTGATGTTAATGTAAGTCCTAGGTCATACTGTATAAAATTATATTTTCCTCTTCTCGCAGGTGGTTTTGACTGGCATAGGAGCAGATGAACAGCTGGCGGGATACTCCAGACACAGGGTGCGGTATAAGAACTCAGGACTGGAAGGACTCGTCAAAGAGCTGGCTATGGAACTGGGACGAATATCCTCAAGAAATCTTGGAAGGGATGACCGAATCATTGGGGACCATGGAAAAGAGGCCAGGCAAGAATTACACTTTGCAGCTCAAGGAATATTTATGCTTAAAGGACTTGTTCAACCAAAAATGAAATGCTATAGTATTGTACATAATACATATATTTCTTTTATCTCAGATTCCCGTACTTGGATGAAGATGTAGTCAGTTTCCTTAACGGACTACCTGTGTCGGAGAAGGCTGACTTGTCTCTACCTAGAGGAGTCGGAGAAAAGCTGTTACTGAGGTTAGCAGCTATTGAGTTGGGATTGGGACTCTCTGCTCTCTTGCCTAAGAGAGCCATGCAGTTCGGCTCCAGAATTGCCAAGTTAGAGGACAACCATGAAAAGGCCTCGGAAAAGTGCAAAAGGCTTGTCGCCACCTAATTTAATATTCTGACAGGTGTCTTTTCTGGTTCTGTTCTTTTAATATGAATATACTCCTTAAATGATTGGTTTGGGGAATTGGGAATGAGTACAATTAACAGATTTATGGCAATACATCACAAAAAAAAGAGATTTTATTCTGTATGTCATTACATGTTTGAACTACATTTAAATAAACATGGATTTTGAAGTTGGTCCTTGAAGTATTTGTCACATTCTATGTATGATGGAAGATCAAGGACACTGCAAAGTGAGGACAACACATTAAAGATATTGACTCTAATATTAAGGACAAATAGTATTGAAATGTCATCTTGTATCAAACAATACAAAAGAAAACATAATGCATTACGTGAACTTGTTTCACTCAAGAGAGGTTTTTCCTTCATGCAGTGTACTTTAAGGTCCTCATCCAACTCCAGAATTCCATATATGGATGTTTCTGAAGGTGGAAATGGTTTTAAAAATGAGTGACCATATGTTTAGCAAAGTTAAAAAAACATTTCTGTCAGGACCACTATCGTCAAAGATGATTGACAATTAGCATACAGTTTGGATTGGCGGTATAGTTCCGTTCTGGGCAAGAACTCCCTGCACATCCATGCAGCCTAGCATGGATGAGAGCAGGGAGAGCAGCGATAACCCCCCCAGCGTAAACAGAACAGAACCAACATAAATGTATTGCAGTTATCGTTAAAGTTCAATAATGTTATGTACACATTTTAGAATTAGTCTGATTCAAAGGAGAATCAGAAGGCTGAATCCTGACTGACAGAGGAGGAGTTGGGGATGGAGGAGGGTAATTAGCTATTGAGCAATGCGAAAACTGCTGATACTACGGAGGGTCCTTATATATGAATGCTTAGCTGTCATATTCCCATAGGTAGATGGGGATCAGCTAAGAGTCAGCTGATGCGAGCTTGACTAACGTGACCTGCCAGAACTAACGCTACGCTTGATATTGTTCTGCTTACCCTCATCGTTACATTGGTATGACAGCAATAAGTTGCTCTCTTTGTCTTTATTTTGCACTTCAAAGAACCTCTCTGTGAATTTCCTCAGGCTGAAATCCTCTTTGAATAAAGTATCTCTGCAAAATAAAAAAATAAAACTTTTTTTCTTATTTTAAAGCCATTTCAAACATTTCCCTGGAGACTGTGCATTATTTAATCTGATGCTGGTTATACCCTCCGATAACTAGTAAGTGGTCATCCACAGAACACAACTTGACCGTCAGTTGAAGACAGGCAACAGCACCATGTCTGTCCTGCAGAGACATTTGATAAAAAAAATTATATATATTTTATTTCACAAATCGCTCCATTCCGTGATGCTCACCTCATTTCTTCTTGTACCATCATTTATTATTTTAACATTGGGGAATTCTTGAGCCCACTGCTGGAATGCTTCATGGTAAAGATCATTTGTCTGTTCAATAGATGATACCGTTTATTGTTTTGTGCATGATAATCATGCAAGTCAAACACTGACAGTAAAAGCTCAATATGGTCATATTTAAAAACAACTACAACAACTAAACAGTTATTATGCACTCAACCACATAAACTGTGTCCACACATCCTGTTTTGGCCAGTGACTGGACCCAGTGTGTGATAAGTGCACATGTATGGAATACAATCACTGTCAAAAATTTTATTCCATACACATGGACCGACATAAAGCAGCGGCTTTGCAATGCCGCCCAGATGCTTGAAATTCCCAGTAGTGTCATTCTCGATATCCCTTTGCAGTCTTGTTCCATAACATGTAGCTAAAATAACTGCTTTCATTGTCAGCTGAAAATGAAAGTGACAAAAGCTCTTATTAACATGTGATTTTAAATAAGTTGCTAAAACCGTAAAGTTTTACACTTTCGGAGAGTTTCACCAAAATCGTTTTAAAGGTTGCTGTGTGTTGTTCAGTCAGACCCACACACGCGCAGTATTTGCCACAACGTTTTCAAAGCGAAACCTACTTAGCTCATGAATATTAATTACGTTACGAGACGTTCCAGGCTCACAGTACGATAGGGGGCGTTTATTAAGGAGCTCTCTAGTTCTGTCTGCTGTTTTTATTTGTTGTTTAAACATAAGTAATAGGAAGTCGAAATCATTTACACGAATCGGTTTAATTTATTTAGTTAAAGAAAGCAATATATCTTGTCGAGTTGTAATATATATATTTATTACCTTTTTATCTTGTTTATTTATTGGTGATTTTCATTCATAGATTTGCATTCGTTCTTTATGTATATCATTGTGATACTCTAACAATAAAAAACGGGAATCGGATCTTTTGATCAGTTAAGTGATTCCTAAACATCATGACGTATTTACGCAATAGACGTAAATATGTGCATAGACGTGCAAATTAAATTATATATAATAATTATATAATAGATATAATTTAATTATTAATAGATAATTTAATAACAATTATAATTATATACAATTCATTTTGGACTGTGAACATGAATATAGACGCGTCGTTTGTGCTTTTGCTTTTTTTTTGAATACCATAATTTTAATAATTTGTTGTAAAGTTTACTTTATACTTTATATTTGTTTTTAGGGTGACTTTTATAACATTCAGTCCATGGAATAGCCTCTGACTCATTTACAGTAATGTTTATTAATGTGAACTGTCCCTTTTAAATAAAATAATATAATAAATATTATAATAATATTATAAAAATACTAATCGATCAAACTCTATCATGAGCTAATCCTGACCTGACCGCAAACGCGTGCAACAGCGCCATCTATTGGTTGATCTGAAGAGTTGCAGAAGCGTCACTGTGCGTCACTGGTTGCTAAGAGCAACGCACTTCAAACTCACAAAATTAATCCGACAACTCAATCTTTTGAGGGGAACCTTAACGGTGTTTTTGAAAGGAAATTAATTACCTTCATTTTACCGCACTCATATCGTCTGTATCAGAGAAAAACAGATGGCGAACCCGTCAGATCAGAGCAGCGAGAAGGCTGTTCGTGCTGCGTTGACCGCTCAGTCTTTACTTCAGAAATATGACCGCAAAGAACTGCTCAGCCTGAGCCTGGCCTCCTGTAGCTGGCTGCTCAGTGCTCAGTGCTCAGTGCTGACGAGCAGAGCCTGCCTATGGATGCACCTCCTGGCATCATCAGACAAATGAGGAACATTTTAGCTCCCAACATAATTTTTCTGGCTCCCTTTGACTCAAGTTTGCCCCTGGATCACGGAATAGTCCACCGGATTGTGAGGGAGCTGACTGTGGGAATATATGGTTTTAACCAATTTCCCGTTATCAGTCTGGTGCCCAACTATGACCAGAGCTCGTGCCAGTTACCACCAGCATATTACGATACAACAGTCGGTCAGATACTAATAAACATAGATTATACCATGAAGGCTCTCTGGCACGGGAGTTACATTCCTAGGTCCATCATGGCCGTGGATTCAGATGTTGTTCCTCAAACAAAGAAAGATACGCTAACAGAGTTCTTCAATGCAGGTGAGATATGAAGTCTTTCAATCTAGAACAGCCAAAGAAAGATGTGAAAGTGTCATCAGGGTTATCATAGTTATCTAAAACTAAAAAACACTTTCGTTGCTTGAAATAAAATAAACGTTAACTAAAATAAAACATTTTTAAAAATGGCAGCTAGGTGCCAAGTCAACATTTCTCATTTTCATTTAGTTTCACTCAATGTACGAAAATAAAATAAAGTGAATAAGTGTGTGTGTGTGTGTGTGTGTGTGTGAAATAAAATGACAAACACATAAAATGATAATCGAAAATACACAAAATTAAACAAAATTTGTATGAATTATTGTATTATTTTTATTAAAAATAATTAATACATATATTATTATATGTTTTATTAATTAGATTTTAATAAATAATCATAACATCAATTCAGCTTGTTGCCAAGGCAACGCTTCTAGTTTTCATTTAATTTAAGATATATAAAAAAACTACAACTTTATTATAAAAATGTATTATTATTGTATTGTGTTTATTAAATATTGATTTTATTAAATAGAAATACATATTCATTAAATACAGACACACTTACAAAAGCACTGATTTGTATCACCAGGTTTAACAGACATTTCAGATGATCCATGTTATCGGGACATTTATAAGGAGAGCATGGATGTAGACCCAACCTATGAACCCAACAGCTCTGAGGAGGAGAACCTCTTCTCACAATACTCAGAAAACATCCTGATCAAGCTGAGTGCCTACCTGACCTCTGTCCGCCAGCACCAAAATCTGTTTGTGTTTGAGGCATCTCATAGCCTATCTAATGTGGTCCGACTCACTTGAGGACAACAGAAAAGGCTGTCAGACCACATTATTCTGGTGAGAAAGCACCTTGAAGGGAATGCAGAAGTCTACTGCATATCTGCTATGTTAATAATAATAATAATACTGTTATTTAATTTTTTATTTTATGTTTTATTATTATTTACGTTATTACATTTATGGTTACGTACTTTACTAACAAATGATTAAGTAAATTCTAGGGGGGAAATAAACTTCACTTTCTGAGTGAAGTATTAAAACTGAAAGTTGATTTTAAAAAAGTGCTCATATCTCATATCTCACCTTCATTTCCTCAGTGATGTCATCAAGAGGAGGAGTCCCCACATCAAATTCAATCCCTCAGTGAAGGTGAAAATACTGATTCTGCTTCTGTGGAAAGTGCTTGCAGGCAAAGTCTGGTCCGAGAAGTTGTGGAGAAACCTCTCGTTCTGTTTTCAGCTTGTCATCTTTAAGCAAAAAAAAACAAAGCAAAGCAAAATTCATTCACCAATGTCAATGCATCCACAAATTATTCAGGCATAGCAGTGATAGCAATCAAAAGACAATGCAAACCTGACAAAGGTGGGAGCAACTGAGACCAATTAGGAATCAACATCTTTTTCCTCAAGGATATCAGCAGGGGCACCAGGAACGTGATGAGTTTCAGGTAGACGAGGTCCCTGGATAAATTCTAATAATAATTCACAGAATTAATGTTTGTACTGTATTGTTGATCAAATAAATGCGGCCTTGGTGAGAATAAGAGACTTCTTTCAAAACCATTACAAAATTTTACCGACCCCAAACTTTTGAAAGGTTGTGTATATACATTAAAATATATACATAAACATACATCCTTACAGTAAATTTATTGCTAAAATATATCACATACTCAGCAGGGGTCTTCATCTCCAATAACGCAGGGTCTTTCCTACATAATGCTTAAACACATGCCACTTGGCCGTAAAAGGCTGCAAAATGAATAGCCATCCAACCCCTCTTGTCCACAAGTTTGTAGTCCACTCGCAGTGCTAAAAGACAGTTTAGGGATTCAAGGGAGCCACGTTGTGCAGCGAGGTGCACTGGAGTGAACCCTAAAAGGGGAATAAATGTAAAAGAATGCATCTTCATCTTTCGACACATCGTGCCAGGTTTTACATCACTGATGCCAAACTCCACTGGTTGCATCCATTTTGCTTTTTGAAGTGATCTGGAGGTTTCACTTATTAAATAAAATATAATGATAATAACAATACAGTTAGATGTGTTATACCTGGTTTGACATCATTGATAGCATTTTTTTTCCTATTTCAAAATGCCCCTTAATAAATAAAGCATACTATTACATGAAATATATATTATATATATTTAGATATTATATACAAAATATTACTATGGTTGCCATTTTTTATTTTATTTTTATTTTTGTAATTTTTGGTTTTTCTTTTTCTTTCAGGATATGACAGCTTTAATTACCCTTATCCTGTTCCTTCTATGAATGGACCTCCAACACCTGATTTTCCTGAAAATGTAACATAAGAACAATGTCTACAAGCTTTTATTGCATTTAAATGCATGTGAACATTAGTAGAGACTTTTAATGTGTTGACCTGAGTTAGAGAATCTCTCGCTGCGTATCTGGTTGAGGTTGACTCCTGCTGCAGCGAGCTGGAGGCTGATGTGTGATTGGTTGTTGGCTGCAGCGTGGTGAAGCAGAGAGAGACCCTGCTCATCAAGAACGTGCAGCTGGGATGTCGGGTTCCTGCGACTCAGTGAGTGAAACGCTCCCCCCCTTCTATCTCTTCTGCTGCCTTCAGCCCAAATGCCACAGTCTGAGTTAGAAGCATATTTCAATGTTTAAATACAGATTATGTACATTGAGGGAAACCAAAGTATGAACTGATTGTCACTTATCACCTTGCACTCTATAGCTTTTGTGTAACCAAATGTTTTCTTGAATTGCTTGTGTAGCTCAATGTCCATCAAGGGCAGTCTCTTCCCTTTGAGGATTTTGATGGAAGTGTTTAAAGCCCCCCACAACTGAATCATGTTATGTTGAGGATAAAGCGACTCTAACGCAATGCAGATGACATTATAGCTGCAAACCACAAGTGTATGTTAGATGCCATGAACAGTATTTATATAATTTAATATATAAATACATGAATATATAATATAAACAGTGCTGACCTTTCCCCTTCAATCTCACTGAGTGGTATTGGAAACTGTGTTTTGTAAGTGGAGTCCTGACGAAGTAACTCATAAAGGTAATTGGCTGCTTGAGTCTGAAGTGTTCTGAAATCCACCTACACAAAAAAATCTGCATTTAATATTGAACCCAATAAATCATACTATATCATATTTTATTTGCACATTAAGGCCTGTAAATTACTGACATCATCAAAACTGCTGAAAAATTGTACACAATCTACTACATCAGAATTTCAACTTACTTTTTGGTCATATAAATATTAGCAACAGCACCAAATTGCATATTTCTACTCAGTTTGGGCCTCTGAATAAAATGGAGGTGTTTTTTTCCCTACTTGAGTATGAGCTCCATATTCTCCTATGTCATACTATATGAGCCATAAAAGCTTGAAGTATTAAATATGATACTCGATGAAAGATTTAAGATTTTTTTAGACTTTCTCTAAAGGTTGAAAAAACTGATCCATTCATTCATTCAAAAAAAAAGAGTTTTACAGGGTTATATACCATATATATACCATAAATAATCTATTTAGTACCCTAAATGCATATCAACGACCAGTACTTTTCAAATGAAATTATTCCTTACATTTTTGAACTAATAGTTTCCACTTTTAGTTTGCTTTGATTTCTATTAAAAAGGAGTTTGTATTGTATACTCCTAGTTTGCATTTGTGGATCCAATTTATGTAATTTTCCATCTGTTATTTATGTATTTAAAAAGAACTGTTTTCTATTTTAATATATTTTAAAATGTAATTTATTCCTGTGATGCAAAGCTGAATTTTCAGCAGCCATTAGTTCAGTCTTCAGTGTCACATGATCGATGTGCTTAGACACCTCATTCAACTCAACTTGGATGGGCTTCCTGTGTGGAAGATTTCTTGTCGGTATGATATTGCAGATTTAAAATGTGTATTCCAAATTTTCACTAATTACGAACAGAAACTATCAAAACTATTTTCACTATCAAACAGAAAGCACTAGGCTTCTCATTTAAAATTGTAAATTTACATACACTACAAAAATGTTTGAACACACCTCATTCTTTATTATCACCATATTCCACATTTTAGATGAGTAGCAAATTATTTATTTAAATTACTAATTAAATATATTTTAAATTTTAGTGATTGTGGTAATGACTTTTCTTTTTTTTTCTGCAGAAATGATCCAGAGTGAGGACACCAGGCGGCTGGAGATGGCCCTCAGGTGCCTTGAGGCTCTTTGTGTGAACACTGAGTCCTCTTGTGAGGATATAATGGAAGCAGGTCATAGATATATTAGTCTTGATAACGAAGTTAATTTCAATCTCTTTTTTTTTTAATCTCTTTTTATATAATTTCTGATATTTAGTTTTGGATAGTTGTTTTGTGTGTGTTTGTATAATAATAAATAATGTTAAAAAGTTAAATGTTAGAACAATGGTTCTCAACTGGCTGCTTGTGGCCCCAAAATAGGTCATATGACTGTTCTGACAGCAGGAAAAAGTTCAATGTAAATAATTTGTAATAAAATTTAGTAAAATATTTCTCATATTCAGCAATCAATTACCATATTTTAAGCACTGTTGTAGGATAAGCAATATTGGTACAGTCAAGGTTTCTGCAGGTCTTAAAAAGGTTTTAAAAAGTCTTAATTCACCCTTCCACAAATTAAGGCCTTAAAAAGCTCTTAAATCATAGCAGAAAGTCTTAAAATAAGAACAGATATCTTCCAGTGGGGTAAAAGTTGTTTCCCTTTGGATTAAGTTGATTTTTCTAAGCCTATTGGCAGATATTTGTTCTTGTTTCAATAATAAACTCATTCATTTATACTGGCCATTCTGGCGGGACACAGTGAGCATCACCAAAACCTTATTGCTCAGTTGGTGAGTCAAGAAACTTTTATGGTATCTATCTATACACATTTAAAGATCTTAAAGGGATAGTTCACCTAAAAATGAAAATTTGATGTTTATCTGCTTACCCACAGGGCATCCAAGATGTAGGTGACTTTGTTTCTTCAGTAGAACACAAACGAAGATTTTTAACTCAATCCGTTGCAGTCTGTCAGTCATATAATGGAAGTGAATGGGAATCACGGCTTTGAGAGTAAAAAAAAAAGATACACAAACGAAACCAAATTAAACCCTGTGGCTCGTGACGATACATTGATGTGTAAAGACACGAAACGATCGGTCTGTGCAAGAAACTGAACAGTATTTATATATTTTTTTACCTCTGATGCACTGCAATGTCTGAACTGTCCTGAGCGCGTCCTGAGCATTAAACAAATGCCCCCAAATTTTTTGTCTAGGGTGGGGTGGCATTGGTTGTGAAGCTCCTGACCTCTGACCTCCAAGATGTGCTAGTAAATGCTGTCAGATGCATCCGTACACTATACGTCAAAAGCCCATGCAACCAAACTGCTGTTGCACATGCTGGAGGAGTTCCACATCTCGTCGAATTCCTGTCTGTAAACTCTGGTACTCTTTACCTCCTGGAAAATATGCAGTAGTGAAAGACAACAAATGTCTGTTGTGTGAAATGTCTGAACAGATCATAGATCAATTCTGTCATTTTTATTCACTTTCATGTCGTTCAAATTTTTTTTCCTGTTGTCTTTTTTTCTGTGGAACACAAAAGGAGAAGTTCTGGAGTCTTACTCATTCGCATTTAGATTAAATGGATGTGTTTTTATCTGACAGAAGTACTGCAGGAAGAGGCCTGCTTGGCTCTTGCAGAGCTGGCTTGGGGTCACCGGGAGAACCAGAGGCTCATATGTGAGGCAGGAGCTGTCGGTGCCCTGGTGCAAGCCCTGCAAGAGAGGAAAATTCCTGTTAAGGTCAAGTGCTTGAATCTATAGCCAGTCACAATCCTGCCATCCAACAGTGCTTCCTCAGGCAATCGACTGCCAAGTATTTGCCAAGTTTTACAACTTTTAAAAGTAATGTAACGGCAGCTTTAACACAGTATTTAAATATGTTGCCTCTGGGTAACTAACTATGCCAATTTCCTTCACTTTGCAAGAACATACAATGTTAATAATGCAGGGATGACTTCGAATAAATCGATATAAAGCTACGTACTGTTGGGTTTTTTGAATGGTGTTCTGGACAACCACCTTCAACATTTTTACTCATCAAAAATATGATTTACTTCCATTAGTGTTTAAACTATTTAGAAATTATTCAGTGTATAAAGTTATGAGGAATTGCTTTAATGGTTTTGTTACTTGGGTTTTAAAGTTTTGTTTTATATTGTTTTTTATTTTATTGTATGTTGCAACACTTTGGGTATAAGAAGAGCACATTATAAATAAATGTAGTATTATTGTGTGATAGTGAAATTAATATGGATGTAGTGGATATGGATGCAGCTACAACAGAGCATACTGCATATTGTTTTTTAAGCACTTTTTTAAACACTGTTTTGCTAAATTATGTATCTTATTAGCATTAACTCAAAATTTAAGTAAAATGAAAAAAAAAAAAAATTAATTAAAAAGTTAAGCTACAAGCCAATTCTATTAGATTCTGTCATATACATATTACACGAATGTTTAGTTGAATTAAATTATTTAATAGAATTGTTCTTATTAGTATACATCAGAAAATTGCATAATCACTCATAATATTTGTAAAAATAATATTAATTTATTTAGGAATTTAGTTTTTTTTATATGCTTATAATGTATGCTTTTAGTAATTTATTTAGAATAAAATTATCAATAAATAAAAACCTTTTATCTATTTTCTAAAAAAAGACCATTTCCTCCAAATATTTTTTTATAAATATTGTTTTTGATTTTAGTTAATTCTTTAGTAATTTAGTATTTTTTAGTCTTGCTTTTATATAAACAAGTGTATCAAAAGGTCATATTTTGTTGTTGAATTAACTGTACTGTTCTTGATAACTTTAAGGGAATAAGATTTGATAAGATTGATAAGATTTCAGAGAAAGATTCTCATATTGCATTAAGTCCCAAGTCAACCCTTGGTACAGTAAACTCTTTCTGAACTTCACCCTGTGTTCAGGTGTTTCCAGCTGGAAGTGCGGGAACAGGGTGCAACAGCTCTATGGGCTCTGGCAGGACAAACTCTGAAGCAACAGAAACTCATGGCAGAACAGATGGGCTACCTGGTCATCCTTGACCTTCTTTTGTCCTCTTCAGACAAAATGCAATATGTGGGTAAGGCCAGATACAAATTGGTCTCATTATACACCGTCCCAAAAGAGATCACCCAGTTCCATCCAACCAATCAGTCACCCTTGAATGTAAGTAACACTCTCGCTGCAAAGCTGTCATCCAGACAGAAGAAGCACCAAATGCAATAAAAACAGCTTCCCATTGACTACGTGTTGACAGGCACTGGATAAACTAAGCAGATTGACTACCTGAGCTTCTCCCTGTCACTGACAGAACAGGTCTGGTCCAGCGGGTAAGCGGCCAGCACTTCCTGTCTTGAGACAGCACTGATCTGTTAGACTCATAAGACAGGAAGGCATGCACAGTGGAATGTTATTCCCCCTGTGGGTTTCTCTGTAAACATTGCTTACAAGAGTTGCTGTGTCTCTTGTATTGCTATTAGTGTTAAACTATGACCCGATTACAGGCTGTGATTCCAAAACGATGCTTTATTCCAAGAGTGCTTCCTTTTCAGTCAGGTGTCTGGATCGTGTCTCCCCTGGATTATCTGTTAAAACATTTTGTCAGACAGATGTTCCCTCAAACTCTTTTTCAGACAGAACTGTCCGCACCTTCATAACTGTGGAAGCTTGTTTCTGCCACGGAATAAAAAATTATAAATAAATAAAAATATAGTGTAAATATACTGACTTTTTTCTTGCAATTGCGAGTTTATATCTCACAATTCTGACTTTTTTCTTAGAATTCTAAGTTTACGTCTCGCAATTGTTTTTTTTTTTTGTGAAGTCACGGAATAAAAATTAAGTTTACATCTCACAATTCTGACTTTATTTTTCTCTGAATTCTGACATATCTCAAATTCTGAGTTTACATCTCACAATTCTGTTTTTTTTAAGGTAATTGCAACTTTTTATCTGTTTTTTAATTGTAAGTTAACATCTCGCAATTTTGAGTTTATATTTTTCTCGGAATTGAAGAAAAAAAAAATTGAATTGTGAGATAAAAAGTTGTAATTACCGTATTTATGCCCTGGAAGAAACAAGCTTCCATTCATATTGTTACAAATTTTGAACAAATCCCCCCCACCCCCTTGTTTGTGCATTGGTAATATCTCACACCTTTTCTTCCATGTCTTTGATATGAATAGCTTTGTGTTACAGCGCAAAGGATTAAACGTTTGTTTTGGTTGCAGGAGTGGCACTTAATACTAATAAAAAGACTCAAAAGTTTATTTGCAGAGAAAAGGCCATTCCTACATTATTAGATCTTTTAAAATCCCATGAATCTCTGGAGGTCAAGGTAATGTTTCGTTTCAAAAATTAAATGAGATTAAAACAGGAAGTAACTTCATAGTATTTTTAAATCACATTAGGTGCAAGTGGCTCAGACTCTCGCCTGTGTGCTGCTGGGGAACCAAAAACTCCAGAGGGAATTCTGGGAACAAGAGGACTTCTCTTATGATATCATTCTGGAGCTCATGGGGGCTGAAAACAAAGTAATTTAAATTTTATACCACTTTAACCTTGGTTTGAAATGTTTCATGGTGCTCATTTGATGCCACTGATATTCTGAATGTGTGAGCTGCTTAGCAAGTCTTCTCTTTCAGAGTATTTGTCTGGATGCTGGACATGCATTATCTCTGTTTGTTTACAACAACAAAGTGCAACATAAGGCAATTCGACAAACAGGAAGAATTCTAATGAACACATACGAGACTTTTTTGAGTTCTGACAATGAGACAGAAAGTGCAAAAGCTGCATTTCAGGTATTCAGAAGATTCAGAACACACACATTGGGGTCCAAAAGTCTGAGGCGGATATCAAAAATGCATTAATTTTACATTCTTTTCAAAATAAAATATTGCTGAATAAATAATTAAAGGGGTCATATGATGTTGCTAAAAAGAACATTATTTTGTGTATTTGGTGTAATGAAATGTGTTCATGCGGTTTAAGGTTAAAAAACAATCGCATCATATGACCCCTTTAAGATAGTATTGATTTGACATCATAACGTTTTCTTTTGATCTTCAAACTCCAAAAAGTCGTGGCCTAATGGTTAGAGAGTTGGACTTGTAACCCAAAAAATGAAAACAATGAAAGACTTTCAATGTGATCTCAGACATTGTATGTTTTCAAGAAACCATTTACCATAGTAATGAAAATGAACAGATGTTATGGTTATTATGATGTTGTGTAAAGGGCTGAAAAAAACAGTTAATTTAACTGACTCCTCATTTGCTCAGTGCTCTGGGTTACCTGACCTCCAATTGATATGCTCATCGACAACTTCTGGCAAAATGTAGAAAATCCCCTCACATATATGACCTCCTAATGGAGAATTTAGCTGAAGAAGATGCCAGAATATCGCAATTGTTTACAGCAGAGTTTGAAAGACAGAGAAGAATAGGGTTTCCATCCCTAAGGTGCATTAAATTTTGACAGGAAGTAGCTAAATATGAGGCCTTTGATAATTCACAAGCATAATTAGTTTACTTTCTGTTTTCTCCATTGCAGTTTGGAGATAAATGGCGGCCCTCCTGTGCCTCATCGTGATAATAAAGGTATTTCAATTGAATTATGTATGACATATTGTGATGCTGGCTAGAGCAATGAGGACTATATCTCACATACAGATGTTTGCGCTATATCATTTCTCACCAGGACTGGCAAAGAGAATGAACGCTAGGTGTAGTCAGTCTGCAATTGGGGACAGAGAAACACCAGCTCTTTTGCCACACCATGCAAGACAGAGGGCCAGAACTGCCAACCCCAGAGTCAGAACGGGACAGACGTCCTGCCACAATGCCCCAAAACAGAGGTTAAATTAAAACACCTGAAAGGTCAAGAACTCCAGCACTGCCATTCACACCAAAAGGTGACTGAAAAGTAATAACATCATAAACTTTTAATTAAAGCATATGCAAAACAGAACCATTTAAATTTCTTAAAATAAATAATCTTTTATTAATATGTAGGAAATGTTCTTTCGACACAATGTCAAGAATTTATCCTCAGTTTTAATGGGGGAATTTTGATTGCAGCATCTTTAACTTCTGAAGTGATGTCTAATCCAAGTGGTGCCCTAAAAATAAATGAAAAATGTCGTTACATTAAAACAGACTCTTAACATATACAATCAGTGCTGGGTAGATTACTTACAAACTGTTACTGATTCCAAATTATATGATGAAAATTAGTAATGCAATCTATTAGATTTTACACATTTTAGGTAATCTAATCAGATTACTTTTGACCTTACTTGTTTTATCACATAGATTTGAATAGATTTATTTTGTACCACATTGATATAAAAATACAAAGAGAAAGAAAATGTTTTCCATTCTTTTGCATTAAACATCACATTACATCAGGGTTTCCCAAACTGGGGTTTGTGAGTTGATGAAAAGCCAATACTTAATTAAATCATAAAAATGTAAAAAAAAAAAAAAAGATTACAAAGACAAACCTTCTTTTTTTTTTACTTAAATTGTGCACAATAAGATGAGAAACATGCATTGAAAATGTGAATAAGTCCAATTTATTTACTAACAGAGCAAATGCCATTTTAACTTACTTGGGTTCATAGTTGACCTCTTCGCAATGGGACATGATCCCCTTTCCTTGCTTTAGTCTCTCTATGCCATTCCTAACAACAATAGTGAGGAACAAAAGTCAGTGTCTTATGCATGTCATCAAGGCTGTAAGGCAATGTGCACCATTTTATGTTCTTACCATGCAATCATGACTCCATTATCAGTGCAAAACTTTGACGAAGGGCAAAGCAGATGCAATCCAGTGGCATCTGTGACAATTTTCAGAGTCCGTCTGATGTATTCATTACTTGCTACTCCCCCTGAAACAACCTACAAAGGGGCACAAGTGGAAGAGTAGAAGTTTTGGTTGGGATAGAAAGGTTGGAGTGGAATTTTTTTACCAAATGTCAATTCACCACAGGCATTGCTTGGTAGAAGTTTTTAAATATTGTAAAATGATTAAGCCAAGTTCGAATTAATGTTAATACGAAATGCCTCAACCGAGTCCTGGAGTGCTGTGAACTTAACAGAGTTGGATTATGCTGTGGTAGAAGACCTTTGGATTTACAGTACAAAATGGCACGATGTGTTCGTTTGGCTATATGAGAAGCCATAGTGTGTTGTGAGGCAGCGGCGATGTCTTTAACGCATGATAATAACTGACCTTTTTCAACACCTGAGGAAACATAACATTACAGTAATATAATACTGGTTAGGATTATATAAATACGAATTTTATTCTAATACATTGCAATTAGATAAAACATATACAGCACATACAAATAACCATTTTTTAAATTTGAGCTTAACCATTTTATTGATACTTCAATATGAATGAATATATATATATATCCATAAAATATTTAAAATCTAATTGAAAACCCAATATTTGTGTGCTGTACATTTATATAAATACAGTGTATATATATATATATGTATACACACACACACACATATATATATAATTTATATATAATTTATACAATTTATATATAGCCTTATTAGACTATTGCATTGCTATTCCAATTAATTGGTGTCAATATGATTAATGTTAATGCCAATTAATAGTCAGTCAAGTCTCCTGTGTATTTCAAATGTGGAGAGATATTTGCATCATACGCAGAGTTGCTGCCTGTTTACGGTTTTTCAAATCAGTCACTTATAAGCTGCCATTTCAGTCGGGATGCTGCCTTAAAAGGCAGCTGTCTATGTAGGCAGCTCACTAGCTTTTGGAAAAGAACCTGTTTCTTTTGTTTAAAAGGAATAGATAAAGTACCTTCTCTCTCTTTTTTGCTTATTGCCAGTGTCACCTGGTTTCGCAAACCAGCAAAAGAGAAATTGCAGTCGTAGAGCTCCTTCGATCCCCCTCTTTTGCCAGAAGCTCTATGGCTTGTCCACCACTCAAAGACGAGCACTCTGGGTGATTCCTAAGAGAAAGTCTTCTAGCAATCTGTCGTTGAAAAGAAAGATAAACAATTTATATTATAAACATCCTGCTGCTTTCCTTGTATTTGAAACTGACATGATAGCCTGATACCTTATCTAAAGTGTCCCCGGCTGCTGCATCCAATGTTTGCCCCAGAAGAAGAAATTCATCTATTCCTTTGGCCAATGCAAGAAGAGAATGACCCCCGGAGACAAGGAGCACAAGAAAAGGGAAGTCTACGAGGGGTGTAGCATTCTTACAGTGAGGGCATGTGCCTCCATATGGTGTATAGGGATGAACGGCTTTTCATGAAGTCTCACAAACTTCAGACTGAAATCCAAGCCGATCCCTAAGCTAAGGGCGAGACCAGGCTTCACTGTTGTGGCCACAGCTGTGAGTTCACTGGGTTCAATGCCACTTCTGTCTAAGGCCTCCTGGACAACTTTAGAGATGTTTTCTCTGTGTAGGCGTTGGGCCACAGTTGGGATAATTCCACCCGCGCTGTAAGAGAACGAATTGAATTAAATTAAATGCACCATAATACACCATTACCTGAGTCATTTTTATCCTTATCTTATGTATATAAATATATAAGGCAAATTGTATATTTTTAATCACCTTTTTGCTATTTCTGGAGTTTACTTAAATAGTCCTGATCTGAAAATGGCCAGACTTAATGAAAAAACGTATAAAAATATAATTATATTAAAATGTTTGTTTAGATGACAGAATTCACGAAAAAAAAAATTATGAGGGTTTTTATATTAGGTATATAAAACCAGCATACAAAGCCATTACTAACACTACTGTCTAAAATCCTGCGAACTTCCTTTTTGAAAATGAAACTGTTTCACCTCAAAATAAGTAAAATTGTAAGTTAAATAAGTAATTCATAGTAGAATGTCCAAGCTGTTCTTTTCTATACAGCAACAGTGAATAGTAACCACAGCTGTTATTTTCAGTGAATAACAACTTTGCTTTCAATCAGTTTCTTAAACAAAGCTATTATAGCTCAAGAAGATAAGTCAGTGTTTTTATTGCTCACTAAAACTAAATTGTTTTTCTTAAAATAAGACCGACATAAAATATAATTCTAAGATAAAAAACTAAAATGAAAATTAGAAATGTTGCCTTGGCAATTGAGTGAAAAGATAAGTTGAAGTACTAAAATTACTTAAACTAACACAGGGGAAAAAAATAAAGGGAAAAAAAAATCAATATTAAAAAAATGAAAAATTATAAAAGCAATTAACAAAATAACTAAAACGGAATGAAAACTAAAAAATATAAAATAAAAGCTAATTTAAAATATTGATACTATAATACTATACTATTAGTTCATAAACAATACTAAAATAACCCTACTTGAAGTATAGTGCACGAGTCATATGGACCATTTTTATGATGATTTTCTTTTTAAGACCTTGGAATATCGTGATGGTGAATATTTAACCACTGAATGGCCTTTTTGAGATAAATGTTCCTTTAGCATAATGAAAACATGTGATTAGTATTACTCTATGTATCAACTGAGGTTATTTATGAAGTCAGTGGCTAGCCTTACTCCAGGTGTGTCTGTTTCTGAGAATGCAGAGATTCCCCCAGAATCACTCCAGTCTCGTCCAGCACAGCCGCTCCGGTCTCATCGCAGCTCGTCTCGATCCCCAAAACTAACCTAGAGCGCACTGTACTGAAGACTCTTCCTGACGTGCAGCGCTTCATCCAGCACCGAGCTGCTCCATTCAACACTGACGGTTCACTGTCGTTAACACTGGTTGATTTAACTCGACAGTAATCTGAAAGGTTACATACGCTTCAACAATTCAAATGACTCGAAAACACCGCTAAACTTGTCTTTCCTTGTAAAACTTCATTTATGACCCCGTCCGATCAAGGCGTTACATATAAATAAGCTCTACTCACAACAAACGAAGTTGGGTTCCGATAGACTTCCTTTAAGATGAAAATGATAAATAGTAGAGAAAAACAGATGCCTGGGCCAATTTGATAAATAAACAAGTACGCTAATAATAATATCATAGCTAAATTACTAATACGTCCAAAATAAAAAACAATACAGGAACCATTATCTCTTGCGCCTGTTTCCATCGGGATAATAATACAGGAGGGATGAAGTCTAACATGGGCGAGATGTTGTACACTAAATAAGATGAATTCTTCACACTTGGCTGCTGTAAAGTAGGTTCTATGACAATTTCCATCTATTATTTGATATTTGATACTTAAAGTCCCTTCTTTACTCTTAATAAGGTAAAGGCCTATTAGCTCCACGTGCATTTCTGAATTCAAATTCATTCATTCTGTGTTTTTGTGTAGCCTAGTTGACAAATAGAAATAATAGAAATGCACACACACACATATATATATCAGTGGCGTGCGGTGGTGTTTTAAAATGAGGAGGCAGTTATATACATACATACATACATATATATATATATGTCACATTTTCCTGGTTAAATAAATATCACATAAATATAATATCACATTTTTATATTTATTACAAAATAATAACCAAAGGCAGTAACAATTTGAACAATATATTTGAAACAATTTACAATAAGATTTCATTAGTTAACATTAGTTAACTACTTTAGTTAACATTAACCAAGAATAAACAATAGCCTACTTCTACAGCATTTATTAATCTTAGTTAATATTAATTTCAACATTTACTAATGCATTATTAAAATCAAAAGTTGTGTTTGTTAACATTAGTTTATGCACTGTGAACTAACAATGAACAACTGTATTTGTATTAACTAATATAAACAAAGATTAATAAATAATAGATGTTCATTGTTTGTTCATGTTAGTTAACACATTAAATGACACCTTATTGTAAAATGTTACCAATATTTTTTTTATTTGTGAACTGATGTTCAGCTGTTCTTTTTAATAGGCAACTTATTTTCGGGTCATCATCATAAAAGCTCTGTAAACACTGCCACAGACACGAAGATATGTATTTCATTTCATCACGCTGAGCGCTCACTAAAAACTGACGCAGTCATCACGTTTTCAGACCATTTCAAGTTTTATTTTGACGTGACACAAAGTAGTGGTATCTAAGCAGGAGAGTTGTTTACTTACTTTATAATTAGTCAATAACACCATCATTTTCTTCATTCAGGCGAGAGCTCGCACGAAAACAAGAGGCGGGATTTATCACACGAACCAATCACATTCAATCATAACAGATCATTGCCTCCTCTCACGTGACTTTCCCCCATTCATCTCAATGAGCCTCCAGAAAAGTCACTGCACGCTTTGATGTCTCTGCTGAAAGTCTATGGACTGAAGGGAGGCAAGCCTCCGCTTAAACTTTACCTGCGGGTGTCGCTGTTTGACAGTGTTACTTTATAAAAACGAGTGACTTTTATACTTTTAATGCCATATTTAGTAATATTTGCGATTTATGTTTGTAATATCGATTATTTTCTCATCCAATTTTTTTGAGGAGACACTGCCTCCCTTGCCTCCTCGGAGAAAACGCCCCTGATATATATATATATATATATATATATATATATATCTGTGAGATACTGTATATATATATATATATTACCTTTCGAAAGAGTTTTTGTTGAAATTAAGTTTTATTCAAAAAGGACACAGGAAATTGATTAAAGTGACAGTAAATACATTTATAATATTACAAAATATTTATAAATGTGTATTTTTACATTTCTGTTAATCAAAGAATCCTGATAAAATGTATCATGGTATCCTCAAAAATATTAATCCGCACACCGGTTTTCAACACTGATAATAAGAAATGTTTCTTGAGCAGCAAATCAGCATATTAGAATGATTTAGGAAGGATCATGTTACACTGAAGACCGGAGTAATGGAAATTCAGCTAGGACATTACAGGAATAAAATATATTTTAAAATATGATATAATAGAAAACAGTTATTTTAAAATGTAAAAATATTTCAAAATATTATTTCTTAATGACATTTAGAAAATCTTTCCAACCTCAACTTTTTGAGTAATGGTGTGTATTCTGATTTTTAGTAAAAGCTTACATGACAGTGTATGATTTACATCAAATGTATTTGGTATTTCACACAATTTATTTTTCTAATGAACAACAGTGTTTCTAATACTTTGCAAAGTTTTATTTGTTTGGAGCATGTCATACAACACATAACAAACTATGATCATACCTTTTCTCAAAACAAAAGGACAAAACAATTGGCACAGCTGAGCCTTCGCAGATATTGTCAAAAGACAAGAAAGTGAAAAAATACAAATAGTTTAATAGGTCTATGTTACAGTTTCTCAACTTCAATAATACTGTGACAGAAAAGAGAGCAAAGAATCATGATGGTTTGCTGAAGCTTGGTAATGATCCAGAGTTTTACAATGACATACTGAAATTGAGCTAAAAGTCAACATGACATTTTCTGATTCAAACAGAAGATGAAAGAATGTAGGGAAGAACTTGATGTTTTGTTTCAGGGGCAGAGGAAGCTGTTCATATATTGGGAAGAAATATTCTTTGAAATAATGTGTAATAAAAGTTCTATTTTTGATTTCATGTTGACTCTAATGAATGTGAAAGCACTTAAAAGCCAAAAAGTTTTGTTAATGTTAATATTTTTTCATCGTCACTTGTACGCTGCAAGACATTAACTAAACAAAACTATACATAGTATTGTGAAATCATGCAAACTGACTTTTTATTTTTCTCAGAAGCAATGAAAACATTAACGAAACAGCAGAAAGGTTTCATGGCTTTTAAATGAGTTTAAAAACACCTTTTGTCAATTCATGGCATTATCTAAGAATGTATTCAGAAATGTGAAGTGACGCTAAAAGCATAAATCTATCTCAGTGTATCAGTGTTGTGAGCACATTTGAACAAACAAAAACTAATTAACAAAAAACTTTAACCATGAAACCTGGGCCAGCCCAGATCCACAAGGATCACAAAACAACGAACAAAAACACATTAAATATCTTAAGTTATTAATGCTTGTAGAATTGTCCTCCTAACATCTCCCTGCAACAATTTCTCAAGATATATCAAACAAAGAGACTCACAATTACACAGACTGTACAAAACTGCTAAGTGTACACAGCTGTGGTACAAAGGGTTATCTCCTCTCCCAAATCAGGCAACAGTTGGTCTGTGCCCTCTGAACACTGGGCTTAATACTTGTTTATTCCAAAGATCCTGACTCCATGGAGTTGTGGCAGTTTTGGGATGAGAACACTCAAAAGCGAAGCTGTGTTTATCACAAAATGAGCTGTGTCATATTTTGTGTAAAAGCTAGCGAGGAAATATCTGCAAAGAAAAGAACAACAAGTGTTACACTTCAAAATAAGTACAGGATCCTATATAATAAAGGTCTAATAAATATGTCTATAATATTCAATATTCGCATTTCGGATGGGAAAAGTTTATTTATTGTTTTTTTGTATTTAGTTCAAAATGTTGTGCAATTGGATGGTTGGTGTTTTAACACCAGGCCAGTTTCTTGGCTATTTTCATGGTTGAAATAGTATAAAAGAGCCATATAAAAAACCTATATGTGACCCTGGACCACAAAATCAGTCTCAAGTCGCTTGGGTATATTTTTAGCAATAGCCAAAAAAAAATATTGTATGGGTCAAAATTATCGATTATTTTTTTATGCCAAAAATCATTAGGATATTAAAGGGGTCCTATTATGCTCTTTTACAAAGTCTTGATTTTGTTTTGGGGGTGTACTAGAACATGCTCTCATGCTAGGCTGTTCGAAAAGCACATTATTTTTTCCCTTATGACTGGTTTTGTGGTCCAGGGTCACATATCAGGTCTGTTAAAAATGTATTTAAGAGTGTAAATGTTGTGCAAAAGATGGCGAAAATAACTTACAAAATGATTGGTGAGATTGTAAAGAATTTTCTAGATGATGTGAACTGCACGCCATAGTCCAGCTGTTCCCAGTGTGTGAGAAGTCTTGCCTTGCCCTGGTCTGGTGTTTCAAATGGTGTGCCTTTCACTGCATGCATAAACACATACATACCCTGTGGGAAGATTGAAAGATGATCCAAATGTCATACACACCATTCTCAAAGTTTGTAACAATGGGATGTTCCTTAATATTAAAGGGACAGTTCACCCAAAATTGAAAATTCTGTCATTTACTAATGTCGTTCTAACACTGTATGACTGGTTGATCTTCAAAACACAATTTCAGATATTTTAAATGAAACATGAGAAGTTTCTGTCCTTCCAGTAGCGCTTATAGCATCTGTATAGAGATGCTAAAAAAGCTAGAAATTAAATGTAGCATTTAAAAAACAAGCTGTATTTAATTTTTACGATTTTTTTTTTTTTTATGAAATACGAATTTTGAATAATGAAAATTAGTTTGTGTCTACTTATTCTATTCATCAGTGTTTGAACCATTAAAGAAAAATCACATTTTCCATATTTAATTTCTGGGTTAAAAATGAAAAATGAATGGACGCAAAAGTACACAGACCTTGTTGTCCTCTCTTCATGGAATGCTATCGTATGGCTTCAGAAGACTCTGAATATCATCCCTCCCTCTTATAGCTGTAGACTTACTACACTTACTAAATTTGTCTTCCATGTCAGGACAACAGAAACATTACATTATCCCTAAGAATAGTTTGGCTTTATCATTGTGATGCAAGCTGTAATACATCATCTTGTACCAGAGAGCTTAAACTTGGTTGGTGATGTCATGCTGTTGACCTTGAATCTTTGTGCGAGCGAGTCCTTACATAATGCCACAAAGACTACTAAGGAAGCATCAATTGTCGAGACTCCAACTGGCCTCAGGGCACTGCTGAGAAAATGACAATCCATAGACAGGGAAATGAAATGCAATATAACAAAGGATTATTCAACAGGGGACACTTACAAAATTGTGAATAACATTTGTGAGGGTCCACACAACAGGAACACTGAAGAAAGGAATGCTCAACAGTACAATGTGAAGCATTCCTACACCGAGCGCATATGTCAGCCATATCCCCCGACTGTTCATCACACGGGTGTTTGGGTTCACTTCACTGTGGGCCACACCGACGTTCATCTTGCTTTTCTGTCGAATAGACAAAAAAAAAAAAAACATACTGTAAAAAGTATTTTTCTAAGTTGTAAATAAAATGGTTTACTGGAGTACATTTTACAAGAAAATATTAATTCAGATTTTCTATTACAAACTGCAAACTGTTTCTACACCAGATTTTTTAATGTAGTCCAAAATGTAAAACTGGAAAGTGTCAAATAATACAATATTTTCTGCATAGTGTAAAAAAGCTGTATAAATAAAATAAACATACATAATACAATACATAAAATTAATAAAACATAACATTCTTCTTTAAAAAAATTGTAAGAAATGTATAATTTCTCCCCCCCTAAATGATTAAAACTGACAATAAAAAAAGAACCAGCATTAAATTATTTGGCTAATCAATCGATAAATTGACTAAAATTGATAAAAGTGTGTTGTGATAAAAGTGTTTCTGTTGTCTCATCATAACTAAAAGTTATATGTCAGTGTAAGACAGTATCTATTTAGCAGTAGTCTAGTTAATTCCAGTGAAATAAGATGTAAAACGGCTAACTATTCAAATTAATGATCATTTATGCACTACTACAATCTATAGTCTGCAACTGATGTTTTATGGCTTTAAAAGTACTAGTTAAGAATAGAAGCTGTCTTACAGATGAGGTCTTGTCTATATGCCAACAAAAGCATGTTCACAAACTTACAATGGGGTGATTCTTTGTAGTACTTTGCCCCAATGCATTACTGTTCGTGCCGGCCAACTTATTCAAATTATTTGCAAGAGTTTGGTTCTTCTTTGGAAGAGCAAAAAGGGTGGAAGTGACATTTCATGGCCTGTTTTGTTTATCCGCTACGGTAAACATTCTGGGCAGCTGTTTGGAAGTCAAAGTTCAATGTTACCTAATATACAGCTTATTTGTTTGGTTGTTTCTCATCTCAAGATTTCTCACCAAAATCATGGCTTGGTCTTGGTTTCTACTCAACAAGTCAATTGCTTCTTGATCTATTTTACAATTAAAGAAAGCATCCACAGCATAATGCCATTATTTTATCTCTTATTATTGCTCTTCTACAAATAAATGCAATAAAAGCAAAACAGATTGAGGTCAAAGGTTGAAGCCCTGCTACTGCAACATCTGTCAATAGCCACTCGATTGATCCTCCACTCATTGATTGTGTATAAGTATGTAATATATATTTAGAATGTATTTAAAGGGGTCATATGATGCGGTTTCAAATTTTCCTTTCTCTTATAAGTGTTACAAGCTCTTGGTGCATAAAGATCTGTAAAGTTGCAAAGACTAAAGTCTCAAATCCAAAGAGATATTCTTTATAAAAGTTAAGAGTCAGCCACGCCTACCTAACACGCCCCCACATGTCTACGTCACGATGTGGGAAGATTTGCATAACGCCGCCCAAATGTTCACGCAAAGAAAGAAGGCGTAACTTTTATTATAGGCGTAACTGCCGCCATGTCGTGAAGGCGCTGTGTGTTTCGTTGTGAAAGCGAAACTACTTTGTTTGGCCTTCCAAAAGAGGACGACACTCTGCCACACAAGCCATCTTTTCCCATGTGGATGGGGCAGAGGCCCACGGATACGTGCGCTCTCCCCCATCGAGGAGACTGTTGCTGCGTGCCTGTGTCCTGCAGCAGCCAAGACCCTAGGCTCGGACATCAGCCTCCCCTCGAAGCCGTGCAGGACGACCGCCCACCTCGCCAATAAAGCATATGCGTCTGATGGCGAGGCGGCTTCTGCGCTGCACGCCATGGTGGTGCTGCAGGTTTTTCAGGTGAAGCTCCTGCAGGTGGCGGAGGGTGGAGGCCATTAAGGATCTGCGTCCGGCAACGGACTTCGCGCTGATGGCGACGAAGCAAGCGGCCCAGGCCGTGGGTAAGGCCATGGGTTTTATGGTCGTCCTTCAGAGGCACCTATGGTTAAACCTGGCTGACCTCAAGGATGCTGACCGTAAAGTGCTGCTGAACGCTCCGGTGACTCCCTTCGGTGACGCCGTGGAGTCCATTATTGAGCGCTTCGCGGAGGCTCAAAAGCGCGCCAAAGCCATGAGTCACGTGATGCCGAGGCGTGCTTTCCAGAATCCTTTGGACGGCGTGGGCTTCGGGCTGTTTGCGCATCGCGGTCTCCCGCGGCTGCATCGAAGCTCTGAAGCCGTGGCGCAACCCAGATCTCTTCAGCCGGGGGGTTCCCCTGGGCTTGGTGACGTCGCGCGTTGTAGTCACGACGGACGCATCGACTCGCGGCTGGGGAGCAGTGTGCGAGGGCATGCCAGCTTCGGGGCTGTGGTCAGAACCCCAGAGCCGGTGGCACATAAACCGCTTGGAGCTGGAAGCAGTGTTCTTAGCTCTAAAGGATTTTCGGCCGCAGCTGGAACAGCGACAGGTACTGATTCGCACCGACAACATGTCCGTGGTCTCGTACATAAATCACCAAGGAGGCGTACGTTCCAGGGCTTTGTACAAGCAAGCAGCGAATCTCCTGCTATGGGCGGACCGTCACTTTCTCTCCATCAGAGCAGCGCACATCCCCGGTCTCCTGAACCGCGGGGCGGACATGCTTTCGAGGAAGGGGATTCCTCAAGGAGAGTGGAGGTTGAACCCCGAGTCGGTTCGGATGATTTGGACCCGCTACGGGAGAGCGGAGGTGGATCTGTTCGCCACGAGCGAGAATGCGCACTGCCCGCTGTTCTTCTCCCTGTCTCACTCCCCGCTGGAAGGGGACGCTCTGACATCGCACTGGCCAGCAGCCAGGCTGTATGCGTTTCCTCCAATCAAGATATTGCCACTGGTGTTATGCAAGATCAGGGAGGA